AATAGATAGATAGATAGATAGATAGATAGATGGATAGATAGATAGATAGATAGATAGATAGATAGATAGATAGATAGATAGATAGATAGATAGATAGATAGATAGATAGATAGATAGGTAGATAGATAGATAGATAGATAGACAGATCGAGAGACATATAGATAGATAGATAGATAGGTAGATAGATAGATAGGTAGGTAGGTAGATAGATAGATAGATAGATAGATAGATAGATAGATAGATAGATAGATAGATAGATAGATAGATAGATAGATAGATAGACAGATAGAGAAAATGAGAGAGATAGAGAGATAGGTAGATAGATAGATAGATAGGTAGATAGATAGATAGATAGATAGATAGATAGATAGATAGATAGATAGATAGATAGATAGGTAGATAGATAGATAGATAGATAGATAGATAGATAGATAGATAGGTAGATAGATAGATAGATAGATAGATAGATAGATAGATGGATAGATAGATAGATAGATAGACAGATAGATAGATAGACAGATAGATAGATAGATAGATAGATAGATAGATAGATAGATAGATAGATAGATGAGCGAAAGGATGATTTTGAACTGAAGTGAAGTTTTGGAAAGGTACGTTAGATAGATAGATAGATAGATAGATAGATAGATAGATAGATAGATAGATAGATAGATAGATAGATAGATAGATAGACAGGCAGATAGTTTTGGAGCAACACCTTGTATGTCAATTAAAACACCCTTTTAAATATGTAGTTTATGGAAAAACTTTGATTAAAAGCACAAAAAATGTAAATTTGCTGTTTCCAAGGACTCTAAAGCTATGGAAGTCACAAAACTTTGGCAGCCATTCTCTCGTTAATTTTACTTATGAAACCAGGCGACCCCACCTCCTTTAATCGCAAATATCTAGACTTCTGTTCAATATTAATGGATATTTTCTTTCATCAAAAGCAAGGAAAATGAACAGGCTTTAAGATGCCACCAATAGGTCTATATGACCCTAAATAATTGAGGAGCCCCTGATTCCACCGCGTCGAGACACAATAAATACTCTATCTGCGCTATCAAAATCTTGAAATTATTCGAGTTGTTATCAAGATATTCAACAAATGACTGAATTTGAAAAAGCTTGACATGGTGTGAAACTCACATTTTTTTTACGCCAATTTCTTGAAACAAGGTTCTGACCAGACAAAAACTGAAACATTCTAAAGTTATGAATAAGTGGGCGTCTTGGACACTTTGGGCTGTGTCATTGTCTTTTCCGTGGTGTTATTGTCTTTTCCGTGGTGTCATTGTCTTTTCCGTGGTGTTATTGTCTCTGTGTTGTTTGGTGTTCCACTGACAGAAGGAAGGCTCTCTCTCCCCTCCTCTCTCTCTCTCTCTCTCTCTCTCTCTCTCTCTCTCTCTCCCTCTCTCCCCCCTCTCTCTCTCTCCCCCCCCGCCTCTCTCTCTCTCTCTCTCTCTCTCTCTCTCTCTCTCTCTCTCCTAAATACGTTTCATTTCTTTTCTTTTTAAAGTGGCTTTTAACTTTTTTCAAGAGAAAATATTGTCAAACATACTCTAAATGCATGTACTTTCATTGATATATATATTTACTTATGTCCTTTAAAAAATCATCTTTAATCATTCTCAAAATGTGATACACATGTGCATTCACTTTAAAATAACATATCGACCTATAAGAGCCAGTTCCACGTTTCAAGGTTTTAGCGAATTTGTCGGGAGGAACAAAAAAACCCCGATTAATGTAGGCATGTATGAATGATCAACACACGGAAACGATCAAACCCTAAAAGCGTATCATATGATAGATCTACGCGATTTAGGAATTCTTGGCTTTACTGTCGAGTTTCGTAGTAATTCTTGCTGCGTCATCCAAGTTGTAACAATATTGAAATCCTTTCCGCACATCTCGAGATGAGCTAATTTGGAAGCAAACAGCTATGAAAAGTGCAAGTTATTTTATTTTTAAAACTATTTTAAGGCGGGGAACTCAATGAAACGTACACAGAAATAAAGTCCATAATACAGGCTTTCGATTGGTGAAAAAAATAATTTTCGCGCCAAAATCCTGATACGCGGATTTGGCTCTTCTTATAGGACGATATTACCTA